GTCGAGCGACAAGCTGTAAGGCACGTTCTCGCGCGGCAAAGGGTTCTCCCGATGATTAATCGCTCGTGGCTCGTCGAGGACGTAAAGATCTCAATAAACGGGGGGCTCGAATTAAATTCGCATCCGGAGCCGGCGAGGAATTTCGCTCGCAGGCCGAGTCCACCGTTATCGCTACGCAGGCTTGGCTGTTGAACGCCTGAATATCTGCCTGCAGGATGCGAGGGAAAAGCACTTAAAGTTAACTGACACTTTGCGGAACGAACGCGTGACGCGTGTGAAAATATCGTCGAGCGGTTATTCTGATCTGATTTCGACTTTTTCATTCCGGCCTCTTTACGGTGTATAAAGGATCCTGCGGGCTCGGTTTGTAATTATAGCACGCTCTCGCACGCTAGAAAAATACGCTAGAGAGCGGTCTCGTCGCATTCAAAGGCTATGTAGGTCAGACACTGACCCGCCTTTACCGCCTATTCCGACCGGTTGACCTCAGCGATCCTTGATATTTGACAAACAGTCCTCGAAAAGCGGAGTAAAGGCAGGACGTCCATAACCGTTCGCTCGCTCCCGCGGGAGAGCCGGCTAATTCGGTCGGATGGATGGATGGGTGGTTGGATAGATGGATGGATGGAAGGATGAACGGATGGATCGGTATCGACGTCCTGCCCGTCGTCTTCCTCCGCGTTGCTCTTTTCTCGCCGACTTCCGTTTTTGCAATCGCCCGTGCTAGCCACGCGACTTCTCCTCGCCGCGGACCACGACGGAATTATGTATTTGGCATCGACTTCTCCCTGTACGGCCGGCCCTGACTTCCCGGCAGCGATTATTATTGGAGTGGCAAATCTTGCCAGCATTTCCAACGGAGTCATCGCAATTTTCCTCCCGCGAAACTTCCACGACTCGAAGCCGATTATGACAACGATCAGACGTCGATAAAGTTCACGCGCGCGGGGAATCTCTCCGAAGGATATTAATGTTCGTAGACTTTGAAAGAATGTTGTGCCTGGCTAGGATACGCCTCTGTTATTCGATTGGTTTAACCCTTTTAACTGTTAGTGGGAAGTATACTTCCCACCTTTTCTTCATTCAACTTTGCGTTGTAAATCACATAATTTTGAAGAACCAATCGGGAATTTGAGTTTTCCAGATAACTGAACAGTTGTTCAACATACTGCAATAGGTTTTTATACCCAACTAGTCACTTGTGATTATTTGCAACAAATCAAAGTTGAAAAAAAATGCTTTTTTTTTAAGAAAAAAATCGATTCCTTGGAGAGTATTGAACGTAGAGGTCTGAAATTTTCACCAAATATTTTTCTGATGTTATACAAAAACATATATGTTTTTCAGTATTCCTTTTCGCAGATTAGATTTTTTTTTATAAACAGATATTTCTGCAAAAACGGCCGAAATTTAATTTTTTTGCACTTTTTTCCTAGTTTTTTCATTCTGTATCTCCATCTTATCCATAATATTATTTTACTCAAAAATGAATGTTTAATTTCTAATAAGCATAAATATGTAGTATTGAAACATTTTCCCACCTAAATTTTTTTCCAGCTCGATCGAGTTCCATCGTCTAGAATCATATGTTCTTATTACGGTCATTACTTAATAATAATTGGAATTTTCATTAATTTTGTACATCATGATCGCTATATTGAGTCCGCCATTTTTAATTTTGCAAATCTGACTTTATATTCGTAATCAGCGACCCAAAAAACGTAGGACTACCAAATATTTTAATAATTTTCTCAAGGAAAGTTAATTCAGCTTTGGAAAGGGTTAAAGAAAGTGCAGAAAACGACGGTCGCACATAAATTTTTGCAACGGCAGGTTTTTGCGCCGCTGGATTCAAAATATTCACGAATAAACCACTAATTAACCGTCGTAATGCGTAAATACGTGAATGATACGTTAATGAAAATTTATTCGCTTCTGTCCTTTTCGGGAAAGCTGTGTCTTTGAGGGACGGAAAAGCCTTTACATTAATAGGGAAATGCATTAATTAAAAGGTGCGTGCGTGCGCGTGTGTGAAGGAATTAACAGCTTAACGTGCTTTAAGTCGTTACCTTATCCATTTTCCGCTTGCTCATTCCGCGCGTTTGTAATTTTATCGCATTTGTTAACGCTAAGCATATTCTGGACGGCGAATTAGGAAGAAAGCGAGAAAGTAAGAGAAAGGACTTCAACGTAGAATAAATACTGTATATAAAAAAAAAACATATATATATATATATATACAGTGGCGTGCAAAAGTTTCGAGCCATAGTGTCTTTTTAAGATACATGACAATATATTGATTTGCTCTAAAAATTAATTGTATAAAATAGGTGACATAACATTCTTACAAATAATAGTACAGTTACAAAATATTGAAATTACATAGTTTCTAATTATTTAGTCATATAATATTTACATGTGTTCAAAAGTATTGAGCCATATTCTTGTTATGACTTTGTGAGCCCGATTTGTTTACGTTTCTTATGAAACTCCTTCGTAAATATTTGCTTGAACTAAGTTCAGTCTATTGTCTACCGCAATGCCGAAACATACAAGCCTTCAGTTACGCGAAGCCGTAATTAATCTTTCTCAACAAGGAAAGGTTTCTCGCGAAATTGCTAATTGCTTATTAATTGATAAAAGTATTGTAAACAGGATTATTGCTAAATATAAGTTGACGAACTCTCTAGCTGATAAATCACGAAACGGTAGACCTCGCAAAACTACAAAGCACGTCGATAAAATAATTAAAAGAAAGTCGATAGCAGATGTTAGAAAAACTGCCATGGATATTTCTCGAAAACTACGAGAAGAAAATCTTGCTGATATTAGTCGAAGTACAATATCTCGACGTCTAAAGGAAGTAGGACTTTTAGGACGTGCTGATGTAAAAAAACCATTAATTAGTGCGAAAAATAAGAAAGCTCGATTAGATTTTGCAAGGAAATTTGAACATTGGACTGAAGTTGATTGGCGAAAAGTACTTTTCTCTGACGAGTCAAAGTTCCAGTTATTCGGAAGTGACGGCAGAAAGTATATACGACGTCCAAGACAGGCACAATATATAACTCAAGATACCAAATTCCTACCGTAAAACATGGTGAAGGTAATGTGGTGGTTTAGGGGTCATTTTCTTACAATGGAGTTGGTCCATTGGTTGAGATCACAGGTACTATGGACGCTATAGTGTATCGAGATATATTGACACAGCATATGCTGCCATATGCAACTCGAAACATGCCATGTGGTTGGATTTTCCAACAAGATAACAATCCCAAACATTCATCGAAACTGACAAAAGAATTTGTCATCGCGAGAAAAATGCGAGTTCTTGACTGGTCCTCGCAATCGTCGGACTTGAATCCTATTGAGCATTTGTGGCAAGAACTCAAACTACGTACAGGAAATAAGAAACACTCCAATAAAGCTGAATTGTGGCAAGATTTGCAAACTCAATGGCAAAATTTACCTCAAGATCGCATTTCTAATTGAATAGCATCAATGCCTCGCCGTTGTGCTGCAGTGATTGTTTCTAAACGCATGGCAAAGTATTAAGTTTAAGAAAACGTTGACAACATTTTCTGTTATTGTTTTTCAATAATATATTTTTCTTATGCATAAGAAAACTTTTTGGCGCAATACTTTTGCACTGTTTGTAATAAGACATTGTGTAAAAATAAAGTATTTAGAATTATTAAGAATTATTAATTTGTAAAGTTTATATAATTGTAGGACAAATAAATACATTTGGTTTATATATATGTGTAAAGTTTTTAGCGTTTATTATGAAATGAATATATAATAATAATTGTGTGGCTCAAAAGTTTTGCACGCCACTGTATACCGGGTGTTTCAGGGGGACACCACTCGGGTCACCCGATTTTTTCGTTAACGCGACATTTTAGAGAAAAATATTTCAGACAAAAGTTGTAGGACTTCAAAGGATCTATTTACTGATGCTATGAATTTGACCCTGGGATAACCTTGAAAAGTCCAGTCAAGATCAACATAAAAATCTGAAATGGAAACCGCGATTTTTTATTACACCGTCTTTTTCCATCAATCAATTTGAACAACTTTTATACTTTGAACAACTAAAATATTTTTTCATTTGCCTAATATTTTTCTAGATATTGAAGGAAAACTTGATAACTTTTTCAATATTTAACTTACGATATCTCGCTAATGCTAGTTACCGGAAGAAAAAGTGGTACTAGACTTTTTTGCTCTATTTAGTCTCAAGAATATATTTTTACAATAGCGCCCTGACTTTTGTTAACTTGCTGACTTTTGGAAATTGCAAACTCACCAAATTAATCAAATTCATGGCACTATTGGAACAATATATTCTTGAGACTAAATAGAGCAAAACAGTCTAGCATCACTTTTTCTTCTGACAAATACGAGATAACGAGATATCGTGCGTTAAATATTGAAAAAGTTATCAAGTTTTCCTTAAATATCTAAAAAAATATTAGATAAATAAAAAAATGTTTCAGATAAAAGTCGTTCAAATTAATTGCTAGAAAAAGATGATGCAATAAAAAATTGGGGTATCCATTTAAGATTTTTATGTTGATCTTGACTGGACTTTTCGAGGTTATCCCAAGGTCAAATTCATAGCGTCAGTAAATAGATCCTTTGAAGTCCCACTTTTATCTCAAATATTTTTCTCTAAAATGTCGCGTTAACGAAAACATCGGATGACCTCGGGTCATCGAGTGGTTTGAAACACCCGGTATATATAAGAATCTATATCAAAGAATTTATATAAAAAAAAATATATATATATATTAATAAGATTTTCGATAAAAACCCTCCGTCGACTAAAATTCGGCAACAATGCGCGTTGGACGAACGCAAGAAAGACTTTTTGTGTGTGTGTGTATGCACAACTTCTCTGCCGATAATAAACCCAAATAAGTCGGGATGAAATCCGTAGGATACAAATGCCGGGATCGAGAGAAGCGACTGACGGGATACGATGGTTCTGATTGCAGGAGGCGTATAGAAAATGGGTGTGCAGCTCCCTGGTGCCTTACTTTGCTCACGGGGGACCGATGGACGCGAATAGCCTGGGTAGCAGCTGGACCAGCACCAGATTAAGGCCCTGCCGATCCTTCTGCCAGTCCGTGGAGCAACGTTGTCCATACTTACTTCCGGGCGATCGTGCCCCCGCGTACCCCACGCAATACGCCGGCGAACCCACCTTTCTTTGCAGAGGTAAAGGCACACAGGGAGTGACTAATTAAACAACACGTTTGCTCTTTTTCTCTACCTTACACACACCCACACACACACAGCAGCAAAAAAAAGAACAAGCGACAGCGTGTCGAGATTGTACGTCGTACGGCACGACTACTTCAGCTCGAGCGCTCAATTGGAGTTTGACCGTCTGTCTTCTCTTGACGAGCTATCGAAGAAGGGTAAAAATGTTCGTTGGCACCCTACTGCTTCGCAAAAGTTGCGACACGGCGCGAGACAACGATAACACATACGGAGCGGCATCTGATGCGCGGCGTACCAACTCGCTCGTGTCTCGTCGCGATCACGACGACCACAATGACGACGATGACACAAGGGCAACGATGACGATGACGATGACGACGACGACGACGACGACGTTCATTTCCGTGCTAAGTCACTAAGACCGCGCGATACATAAATTTGCATGTGAACGCGTGCAGGTGCATATAAGCGTCGCCGCGGAGGAACGCCCCGCGTAAATCCCCCCCCCCCCGCGAGATAATACGCGAGTAATTTTGCAATATCGAAGCCGCCGCGCGTCCTCCTCGGTTGACACGCTCGCGTTTGCACGACCTCGCCGTCCCCGCGGTGAACTTTCCGTTCTCAGCTTAACCCCGCGATGCGTACTCGACGATTTCCGGCACGCGTAATTTCTCCTGACGACGCTGATCGACTCTCTCGCCGCGATCGTCGCGTTCGACGAGGATGTTTGAAGATGCAAGTTTTCATCGCTCCTTTCAGCCTCGCTAATACGTCGACCCGACCGTGGACTCTCTCGACTTCCCGTGTCCGAAATCGCGGCCGGACATTTTGACGTAATTGTCTGAAAAATATATCAGCGGCCCCGGAAATATTTTGCGCACCGCGTCCGCGGATTATCCGTTTGTGACGTGCGACGTTGCGAGCGATAATTATTAATTAAAGGGGAAAGAGCGCGCGCGCGCGAAGTAACGGCGAGATTTCAGCCCTCCCCTCCCCCCTTGCCCCCCATTGCCGGCAGAATTGACCGTGCAATTTCACATGAGGGTTTAATGCCGCGCAACGACGGGGCGCAAAGGGTTTATATACCAGAACACACACGTCTGAGCCGTCCAATGTCCAATTCCCCCTCGCACTCTCTCCTCCCCAGCCCTCTTGCCTGTCTTCCTCTCTCCCGCCCTTGCGTCCTTTCTTCCTTTTCATAGGCCGACGCGAGTGTCGTAAACGCGAGGGAACGCCGCCGCGTTTGGATATAAACTGCGTTAAATGGGACGCGTGTCGCGCGCGGTTATTGAAAGAGCGAGCGCTCTCTCTCTCTCTCTCTCTCTCTCTCGCTCGGCCGTCATTTTTATCCCTTTATACGTGCCGCATCGACCCCGCAAGATCGCCCGATGAAATCTCCGTTCAAAAGCAATCTAATTCCCTCACTGTTCGCCGGTGCGCCGGTTGTTCCCGCAACGACCAGCAAAAGAGTCGTCCCCCCCTCCTCCCTTCCGCTACGTCCACGCGGGGTCGTCGCGGTAGCACCGCGGCGACCGCGGAATTTTCAGACGCGCGCGCGCGAGAGAGAGAGAGAGAGAGAGAGAGAGGGCGAAAAATAAAAATAAAAATCCGGGAGAAGGAAGAGCGAAAGAAAGCAGAAGGAGAGATTGAATCTCGTCGCGATCGCGGTCGCTTATTTTTCCGTATGTTCATTTTCCCGCGTGGATCCCTCATTCCGTTCCGGCTGACAAGGTCATCAGGTAGATCGAAACACGACCGGGAATGACGCGACCGGGGAAAAAATCACGCGTCCGTTCATCGCCTCCTCCGCGCCTGTCTTTCCCTCTTGGACGGCGCCGTGAGAGGGCGCGTTGAGAGGACGGGAGGACGACGACCTTTTCCCGCGTTCCCGCGTGTCACCAGGTCGTTGGAAAACGCAATGATTTCAGACCCGAACATCCCCGAGACCGGCGAGCAGGCCGCGAGGGCGTTGCACAGCAGCGATGACGACGAGTGCTGCTTCCACGTGTGCTCCGAGGACGCGCCAGGATCGGGTATCTGCGCCAACTGTACAGAACCGTGGAGACACGGCAGGGTCCACGATCCCTCGACGGCGCCCCAATGCGAGACCAACCCTCCTCAGGCTGGTTTTACAGGTGGGTAGAGCGCGCGAATCAGCGGACGAGAGTCGTTCGATTCGAAATACAATACTGGATGGAGGATTTGGAAAATCGGTATGTCCTTCTGAGACACTCCTAAGCGAGGCGTGCGCGAGTTCACGTTCGCGTATGGACGTCGAAAGACGTTCCATCCGACTGAACATTTCTCGCATTAATGACGAGAGGGGGAATTATTGATTCCTCAACTCTGTCGACATCGCGAGGGGAAATCGGCGAACGCGAGTGGCTCTTTACGATCTTTGCTCCTCTGTATTCCTCAACCTGGTTTTGTCGCTTTTGTCAAAGCTAACGATCGGCGCTCCCTTTCAAGCAAGCCCTTTCAGCTCGGCCTCGGGCGATCCCGAGGGCAAAATCGGCGAGCGCGCCGATCCTCAGTGTTCCTCCGAACCGTGGAAGCGAACGATCGCCAATTTGTCGAGCGACTGACTCCCGCGATCTTTTAATTCTCCGGCAATCGGCAAACGCTTGATCCTTGATGCCGCGGTATTTCCCAAACCGATCACTTCCAAGCGAGCTAACGATTCGTCGATTTTTCGACCGATCAACTCCAACCGAGCACTTTTCTCATCCGCGGGAGATCGCGGGAGGAAATCAGCGAGGACACGAGTAGCCTGATTTTTCATTCTACCCTCCTGAATCCGTAACTCTCTCTTTCTCTCTCTCTCTCTCTCTCTCTCTCTCTCTCTCTCTCTCTCTCTCTCGTCTAACCGGACGATCGGCTTTCTCTTTCCGACGCAGGTCAAGAGTACCCGGGCTCGCAGGCGGGCCAACCGGAAGTGACTACGGATCGCGGAATGGTCGACGACGATCAGGACACCGACGGCGCTTCCTCGTCCACCACCATCACCCCGGCATCATCGACGACCGTCAGCAGCCAGCAGGACACGTCGTTCTGCGGCAGCGGCCGCATCGGCTCGATATCGAGCGCGTCCTCTCTCGGCCGATCGACCCCGTCGGTCGTCCTTCAGCTCCTCTGGCTCTGCTCGATGATCCTGATCTCCTTGTCCGGCAACGGAGCACTACACAACAACAACAACCTTGCGTTCTGGAGTCCCTTCGCTCTGTTCCGGGTGATCAGCAGCACCTTCTGCCTGCTCCTGAGAGCGCGCCTTGGCCTCGACGGTAGTCTTCGCCTCGCTTTCTTCGGATCACGCGCAGCCAAGTTCGCCGTAGTGCGGAGCCTCCTGTTTGTCCTCGGGATGCCGAGGAGAGCGGTGATGAAATGCCGTCGCCGTGGGTGGTGGTGGTGGAGGTCCTGGAGAAGATCCAGCAGCCGACACTTTCGCTGGAAATCCCGAGCGAAGGAGAAGGAACATGGTCCTCGAGTCCTCCGTCAATTTGGAGGTCGAGCTCGGGGTCGCGCGCACCTCGAGCACGAGGAGACGCCGAGGTCCACCATCGCGATATCTCGCGGGGTCTCGAGGACGATCGCGAGGAGTCGCCGGTGGGAAAGATGGAGGTTGTGGAGGTCGCGGGGCGGCAGTTCCGACGGCCGTCGTCGCCGACGGAAAGCGCCATCGCGCGCAGCTCGTTGCGCGCGACTCCCGACCGCCGCCGCCGCCGCCGCCGCCGCCGCCGTCGCCGCCGTCGCCGCCGCCGCCGTCGCCGCCGCCGTTGCCGCCGCCACCGAGAAGAGGACTCCCGACGTCGCGTTCTGGCGATCCGTCCTGGTCGGCGCGTCCATCTCGATTCTCAGCTCGTACCCGAAGCTCGCAGCGTGTTCGCGTCGGTTTCGCGACTGGTGGTGCTGGTGGCTATGGCGTTGGTGGCGGAAGTGCCGGGATACATGGCGGCCGCGGGGCATGTCGGTGCCTTCGCGGAGGGAGGATCGTACGGCGATTCGCGGAACACGACGGCGACGGCGAGGAAGAAGAAGGAGCAGAGGGAGAAGAAGAAGAAGAAAAACGAGCAGCGGGTGGAGGAAAAGGGCTTACTCCAGGACACTCGAGATGGACGCGTGTTCCGCCAAGTCGACGTCGAGGAAGGACCCGCCATAGAATGGCTTGCCTCGCTTTCCTGAATACGCAGGATCGTACGGGTTTTTTTCTATCGCGGTAACCGCGAGCTTTCACTCGCAGTGCCGACACTCGAGGAGCATACATACACACACACACACACACACACACACACATACACACAGGGTCGATGATCGTCGCGGGGCACGAGGACGTCGAGGGGCCCGCCGTCGATACGACGGGAACGACGTGGCTCTCTCGCGAGCGAAAACGCGAGGTCCGGGCACTGAAAGTACGGGTACGCGCAGGATGTCCCCAGGGAGAATGTCGGCGGACAGAGAACACCATCGTGCCGCATGAAGGGCGACGCCGACGGCGAGAGGAAAAGCAGAGGAAACGAGACGGGGCCGACGAAGGAGGATGCGAAATGCGTGCGGAACGGAGGGAGGAGGCGCGCTCGGCGATCTGCGTCCGCGACTCGAGCAATTTCGGGCAGGTTGGAGCAAACGAACGGGGATAAGGGAGAAAACAAACGAATGACAAAAACAGCAAAATACATGAATCGTCAGAACAACCGAGGACGAAGGAAACGTAATGTCTAGCGTTAATAATAATGATAATAATACAATAATAATGAATAAATAAATAATAATAGTTAATTAATAATAATGAAAACTAAATAATGGAGTAATAAACAGTATAAATAAACAAATATATATATATATATATAAAGAGAGAGAAACGATTGAAGAGTAACGTTTAAAGTAAACGATAGAATGATAACGATACGATTATTATTATTATTATTATTATTACACATTAAATTACGTTACACACAAAACGAGTGAGAGTGAGAGAATGAGCGAGAAAACGAGAGAACGAGAAAAAAAGAGAGGAAGAGTGAGGAACAGAGCGAGAGAGAGAGAGAGAGAGAGAGAGAGGGAGAGAGAGAGAGAGAGGAATGAGTGAGAGCGAGTGAGAGAAGGTGAGAAAAATAGGGGTAAAAAAAGAGTTTGAGAACTCGGCACCCAATGAACGGGGACGGACATACAGAGAGAGAGAGAGAGAGAGAGAGAGAGAGAGAGGGAGAGAGAGGGAGGGAGAGAGAGAGAGAGAGAGAGAGAGAGAGAGAGGGAGAGAGAGAGAGAGAGAGAGAGAGACATGCACACGTACCACACGAATACACACAACGCACACATATATACATGCAAGATTACACATACACACCGGATGAGTATAAGACGTTAAACTCTAACGAGGCGACATTAAGGATAAAAAAGAGCCGTAGGTAGATAGTTTCTTCGCCGAGAGAACGGGCAGCTGAGGGTGGTCTCGGACGCGAGCAGAAGGGTGGGTGGTGAATTATTATATACTTGGTGATATTCTTCCTTGGTGCTGGAGGGGCGGGAGAGTAAAGAACGCGTGGCACGGGATGATAAATAAGCACGACGTTATCGAAATATAATATGTGTTCGTTTAGACATTATCGTAAATAATAACTAATATATTAACATAGACCTGTAACGATACGAAGTGAGTCAAAGTGGAAAGATTGCGTGCGTACGTGTGTGTATCTGTGTGTGTGTGTGTGTGTGTGTGTGTGTGTGTGTGTGTGTGTGTGTGCGCGCGTGTGTGTGTGTGTGCGTGCGTGTGTGTGTGTGTGTGTGTGTGTGTGCGCGTGTGTGGTGTGTACATGTGTGTTTGTGTGGTTGGTGTTGTGTGTGGACATTTGTGCGTGCATGTGTGTATGTGTGCACATGAACAAGAAAAGGTATTGGAAGAGAGAAAGGAATTGAATGAGAATGAAGAAACGAGAGAAGGAGAAAGAGAAAGAGAGAGAGAGAGGGGGGAGGGAGGGGGGGGGAGAAAAGAAACGAAAAAGTGAGAGAAACGCGAGCATGTGCGCGAGAACGAGAGAATGACGGCGGGAAAGAGAAGCATCGAAACGACGTGCTTTCCGCGAGAGTTACGGGGGTTGATTTGCCGATAGAAAAAGCGACGGGACTGAGAGAGGAGTTGGAAGGTGATGGGGTGAGGCGCAGGAACAGGAGCAGGAGCAGGAGGATAAGGAGCGAGAGATTTTAGAATCGGAAACGGAGGACGGAAACGCGAGAGAGAGAGAGAGAGAGAGAGGGGGGGGGGAGAGAGAGAGGGAGAGAGAGAGAGAGTGAGAAAGAGAAAGAGAGAGATTCCATAGGATTCGTTCTCATTCTGCGGTCCCCATTTCGATCCCCGGCGCATCGACGCGATGCGACGCGACGCGACGCAACGCGACGCGACGCAATGCGATGCGATGCGATGCGATGCGATGCGATGCGAGGCGAGGCGATGCGTTCGATTATCGAGATCGACCATGTGGAAGGCGAAGTCGCGGATAGCGAGAAGATTGGTTGCGTGAAATCACGTTGGTGTGTTCGTCTCGCGAGAAAGTGTCAGAACATCGACGACTACTTCGATCCTTCGTGAGCTTATTGTAATTTTGAGCGCCGATTGCGTCGCTGAACAGTTGATTACGCGTAGAACTTAAATTGAGACTGGGTCGTGTCTCTTTTGTCCGATACATCGTGCCCTTCGAGTTTCTTTTATTTTTTTCGCATTATCGATCGCTTCGCGTCTTTCCTTTCGTTCGTCGTGCTCAACGGCGATCTTTCTCGCAGGGATCGCGCGTTCGCTCTCTTCGGTTTCTCAGATATGTTCGGATAAGGTACTCGGATAAAGGTCTCGCTTCGTTGATCGCGCGGGGAGAAAGATCGCGAATCGATTCCGGAGACGGAGACAATAAGACAGCGGAAAGTAACCGCGCGCGCGGGAATTCCAAGCGAACGCGAGGGAGACGCGCCAATGACCTGCTGATTCGCGGGAAGATGGATCTGAGAACAAAAGTCCACGAGTCCACTCTGGACGAAGGATACGAGGAGACTTTGGACACATCGAGACTAGAGAAAACAAAGGAGAAGAGAGGTAGAGAGAGGTGAAGCTAAAGTTAAAAGGATCACGACAGAACAAACCGACAAGCGAAAAAGAAACATCCAAGAGAGACGCGGCAGTCAGTGAACGACTGACAGAGCGTGGATCAAGCGTGTATTAATCGGAGAAAATTCATCGAGTCCTGACGGAGTGTCCTGGCGAGAGCGGTGCCGTTCGCGCAACGATAGGCTCGATATAATCCTTCCCCGAAACGTGGGGCGGAGAAGTAGATACGCCGAGAGGAACGTCGATAGACGAAGACGTCATCGTGCGCGTAAGCGCGAGCGGGATGTGAAATAAAACGCAGCGCAAGGAGATAGTGGAGAAAGAGAGAAAATGTCCTCGATCACGTAAAATAAAGCACACAGAACAAAGGAGCGGAAGATGTCTTCGATCACGTAAAAGTGGCAAGCCGAAGCAGGAGGAAGTCTTCGATCACGCGAAACAAAGCGTTTAAGAGGACGGAGAGAGCTGAAGAGGAGAATAAGCAGAGGAAGGAGAAGGGGAGGAACAGCAGGAGGAGGAAGAGGAGGAGGAGGAGGAGGAGGAGGAGGAGGAGGAGATTATACGATACGCACAAATGCGAGCCACCGCCTAACGAAATCGTGCTCTGTTAATTGTTGCTGTTGTTTCTCGTTGTTGAGCCGAACGAAGCCACGCGTACGCGGGACTGTGACGAAAAACGCAACAGTGAAGAATAAGAGAGAGAGAGAGAGAGAGAGAGAGACAGAGAGGCAGTCTCTTGAGAATTAAATATATCTATCTGCCACTTCGCGGTATACACAGTCGCGAGAAGTTGCGACGATTTCATTTCACAGTGGACATCGTCGCGCCCGATTTCAACAATACATACTCGCACGTCCACGTAATTACTCGCGAACCCACACACACATATATACATGTTTCAGACACGAGTACGAAAAAAGTGCACGCAACTTGTTCGCGTTAATGCGATTGCACCGTGGAACACCGTGAGAGATACACGCGTCGCATCTGGCTGCGTGAATCGAGACGAAGAATAACGCACGCGATGTGCGAGCGACGCCTCTTTATGTCCGGCGAGGAGGACGGGGAGGACTCTCTCGACTCCGTCGCTTTCTTCCTTTCTCTCCATCACCAGAGAGGGTCTTTCCTTAATCGCGAATTTTAGCGAGACCGGCGAAGACGACCTTTCAGCGAGATTTCAATCGAGATGGCTCGGTGAGTTGAAATACTTGCGATGAAACGAAAGCGCGCAACGATGGAACTTGCCGTTTGACGTATCAATCGCAAAGAGAGAGAGAGAGAGAGAGATGGGGGAGGGAGGGGGAATATATTTGTCACTAACAATTACACCTACGTTATTAGAATCGGTGCGCCGCGGATTGAGCGAGTCATGTTAATTCGTCGTCATTAATACATCTGGCGTTTAACACGGACTCATCTGTTATTTCATTGTTCTTCACATTCACATCGCTTCATTCTTTGTTGCATTCACTTTTCAACCGCTACGTATCTATAGATTTATAATCCGGGCGGGCCAGCGGGGCAGAGGGGTAGGGAGGAAGGAAGGAAGGAAGGATGGTAGGAGGCGATCCAAGAGTTCAAGCATCTCCTTCTATAAGGTCGCAATTAAAAAGCTGCTCGTTACAGGAATTGTTCGATAGCTCGCCGGCTGAGAGGTCGAATTTCCCAAATGAAACGCGAAAGCAGTTCGCGGACGGGGGCGAGCGTTTCGCAGTCGCGTTAATAATTAATAGCCGGATAAATTACCGGACGGACGCAAACGTGGCCCAAGTGCGCCGCCGCGAGGTCGAAGTTACGGAGAGTATAATTTCGCAATCAGGTTCGATCAGGATGCGCGCGCGGAGGATGTGCGTGGTTGGTGGAAGGAGGTCGGGGTGGGGGGGGGGGGAGGGCGGGAGAAGAAGAAAAACGAGCGCCTTCGTGCCGTGGCAGAATGCGGGCGTCGCGCTTTGATTAATCGTCGCCGTGTCCGATTATAATCAGTTACGCCTTCCGGAGGAGAGATCCTTCCGAGGAAAAGTCCGTGGCCGCGAGGTCCAAAACAACTCCCTCCCCCTCTTCCGCCACGTCGTCGCGACCTATCGTCGTGAGCCGGGCTTCGCGGAATTAATGCGATTACTTTCGACGCAATTATTTCCTGCGACGCGAACGAACGTGTCCCCCGGAAGGGAGCGCCCGTGAAAAATGTAAAAGTTGCCGCGGGAGAGTTCTCGTCGCGTGCGGAAACGTCGTTACCAGCTGCGTCTCTTTTTGTCGATGACACGGGAAGAAAAATCCACGCTACGTGGCAATCGCGTTGCACTTTTCTACCGCGGCGAATTTGCCGCGGCTTTCGCTCCTGTTCACGCCCAGCGAAGTCGGCGCGAATCGACACAGCGACCGCGCGAGAATTTCTTCGTTTTTCTTCCCGAGACTCTCGCGCTCTCGCGCGCGTAGGTGTTCCGATTTTCCGCATTATTCCGGAGAGCCGAGGCGCGACGAATCCACCACCATCGTGTTTTACGCGCGCGCGCGTATACAGGGTGGTCCGAAATTCCCGCATTCGGAGTACAGGACATGATACTTTATGCTAAAGCAAACAACTTTTTCCTTTGGCAAAATTGCGTCCGACAAGTAGTTTTTGCAGAAGAGCGTGTTTAAGTTCACGAATAAGCGCTC